CTTCTAGATAGTAACTTGCTACAAACTGTTGATTAATATTTAATCATGTTGATAATTCATTCAACACATTATTCTTAAACTCTGTACCTCTGTCTGAAACCAGAACTACAAAACACCCATACCTTATTATAACTTTATCCCATATAAATTGTGCTATAACATTGGCATTTTTTTTCTTTAATGCTTTTCTTTCTACAAACCCTGTTAATTCTTCAATAGCCAGTATAACATGCTCATGATCTTCACTTGTTCTGAACAATGGATCTAAACAATCAATATATAATTTATAGAAAATCTAACTTGTCATGGCCATGTGTATTAGTTTCTTTATTGATTTTACCACACACCTTTGATATTTAACATAGTGATACAAATCAAAAATCAAAAAATCAATTAGTTGTCAACTAATTGATAAATTGAATAAAAAATTTTGAAAAAAACAACTAATCGATTTAAAACTTTTGTCAATTTATAATAAAATATTTGACTAAAATCGATAAATCAATTAGTTAACAACTAATCGATTGAAAATTTTTGAATTAGTCAACTAATAGATTAAAAAATTTTTGCCGATTTAGAACACTAATTAAATACACAACTTGACATATCTTTTTGTATCTTTATACATATTTCCAAGGCCCAACAATAGTTCATTAGAACTTTTCTTGCATAGTATTAATCCCATGATGCCCTTCTTTTTTGGTAGTTTCATGATGATTTGCCTCCAAAATTTGATATTTTTCTTTTTTATTAAATATTACATGTTTTGGTGAAGTACTCTTTTTACCTCTCTTATACAAATATTCATCTATTATATAATAACACTTCACTTTTTGCTGTAATATTGGTAAATCTGACATTTTAATATTACATACCTGTTCAAAATTTTTTAGATATTCTTTTATCTACATTAAATCTTATTCCGGCTTATTTAATTCACCCACTCATATTATTATTTCTTTTACAAACTCTTTATTGCTTCTTTTGTTTAAACTAAACTCTGGGTATCTAGATAACCCATTCGCATCTCCATGCTATTTACTATTTTTATAACAAACTCAATTCAACCACTTGTAACACCAAAACCCAATGCATTAACCTTTCTTTTAATTTGGCCTTATTGAATAGCCACTCAAGAGCTTGATAGTCAACCCAAACATTGAATTCTGTATCTTCAACATAGTACTCATTCGAATTATAGCCAAATACTATTGCCAAATATTCCTTCTTTGTAACTGTGTAATTAATTTTGTATCTATTCAATTTCCTCAAGTCAAAAGTTAAGGGTTTCAAATTTCAATTTTTATTAGATTGTTTTAATACTGCACTTACTGAAATATTACATGCATTCATATATAATTGATACAGCCTCTTTTTACTTTTCACACTATTCCAATTAGATCCCTTTAAAATTACATCCTCCAATAGTTTTCTTTTCAATTCTCCAATTGATTTCTTTTGCTTTTTTTTCTAATAAAACTTACAATTCTTCTTTATTAAATCAGTTAACAGCTTTGCGATTTTGCTGAAGTTTTTTATAAACTGCCAATAATACCCCATGGCTATAAAACAATCTAACCTCACTCTAATTTTTCAGTTTTGGCCATTGTTGTATCTTTTTTAACCCTTTAGTATCCACTTTTATTCCTTCCTTACTCACAATAAATCCATATATACTTAATTTCTTATATGCTATAAAGCATTTCTTTGTTGCAAATATAAGCCTAGCCTTTACAAATATTCTAGCTAATTCAATAAATATATTAATATGATTTTCTAAATCACTGTTGATCTATAACCTAATATCATCTTAATATGCCACAGCTAACCTTTTCTACTTTTTTTCTTTTAGAATCAGATCTATCAACCTCTAAAAGGTTTTGCTAGCATTTTTCAAACCCATATACATTACAGTATCTTAAAACTTCTAAAGTTGTTAAAATAGCTACTTTATCTTGATCTTTCTTGGATATTCATATTTGTTAATATTACTTAAATACATCTATACTCGAATACCAGTCATGCTTTGCTGCCAATTTTAATATAGCTCTTATAATCAGGAGTAGGTAACTGTCTTTTATTATGAATTTATTCAGTGGTTTTATATTTTCTACTCACGAATTCCTCTGTCTTTCTTGTTTATTAGAAAACAATAATATGCATATAATCCACTACTCTCTTTTAACAAACTACACTAAATTATTTCTTTCAAGTGCTCTTCAAATAACTAAGCCTTTTCTGAACTATTGATTCTAATTGGCCTAAGCCTTATAGGTGGTATTTCAGCATCACCAATTCTCACTTCGTATTCTACTAAATTAGTATAGCCCAACTTGAATAAGTTAAACACAAACATTTTTGATACTTTATTTACTAATTGGCTTTTTATATATCATTTTTCTTCAAGTAGAATTTCAGGCCCAAAATTCAGTAAATTTATATTTTTCACTATTAGCTTTTGCAACACCATTGATTTTATCATCTCTAATGATATTTCAGGTTCAAAAGGTCATTTGTCTGTAATATATTTTAATTGTTTTAATCTTTTATTCATTCTTCACCCCCTTCTATAGTCTGCTTATTATCTTTTACTATTTGAAATCTTTGCACTACAGTTATCTGAATTACTTTATCCTTATTGTCATCATATTTATCAACTTCATTGTTATCGAGGTTTTCTTCCTTTTCAATCCAATTTTAAGACACCACAAAAATGATAAATGATAATTGTCTCTTAGGTGATAACACTATGTACTAATACTCATTTTTTTTCTAACAAAGATTATACTGGGCACTAGCTAGCTATGATATTCTAAGCAAAATGTCAAAACTTACAGATTTCATAATATTGTTATAGGTGGGTCTGCTAAAGTTACTTCAACATAGATGGCAAAAATATGACAAATTGTTACTTAAAATTCTTTGACATCACATAATATTACTTAAGGTAAAGTGAGGCAGGAAATGATTTGGCGAAGGTTTAAAGCAACCTTTGAGTATCATTACAGGGTAAGTAGATTTAAAGAATGTGGAGGTTTATGTGTATTTAGAGGACTTTATTTATCAAACTTATTTAAGGCACAATTTATTTTATTATTATTTTTTTTGGTAAGATGTTTTTCTCTACTCTTTTGCAAGAGAAGTTTCTAACCCATATTTATAAGAATTACAACAAGAAAATAAGAAGGAGAATTCAAACACTTCTAAACTTATTTTTTTTTTACTTAAGCCGTTTTACCTAATTTTACTAGTACTGTCTTTCTTTTTACAACTCAGCCTTCATTCTATTAGAATTTCTTATTGAGTTTCACTTCCTTAATAATATATCAATACTCAATATTTGGCAGCACACTTGCATAGCCACACACCTTACTTGACAAGGTAATATTATCTTAATAGCTGTTAATCTAAATTAGGTAGATAGCTTTTTTTTCTATAGGATTAGCATTATAGTTTCAGTTGGAAAACCCAGACCCAACTGGTTTGTTGTAGGGAGATCGTCATCTAATTCTTCTTGGTCATGGCATTATTGTATAATGCTTGTTCATACATCATTACAGAATTGCCATGTTGGTCTTGAGAACCTGAAGTTAGGTTTTACTTTTAACAATATAGAAGCTTTGATTCATTTTGACTTTCTGTATTTTAACCTTCACTTGGAGTATGTATCGCTTAAATTTACTTGTTCAGTTATTTGTTATTCTCCTTTTTCCATATGCTTGATCCCATCTCAGTTCTCTTTTTTTTATATAATTTATATGTATTTGGTTTAAATGAGAACCGGGATCAATAGATACATTAACCAGATTACTATTTATCAAAGCTAGCCACATAGGTACTACAAGTCACTCTTGTTATAGTGAAGCCCCCAGGCTGTAGATTTTTCTTTACTATATCAAGAGGTTCACTATATTAAAGATCTCTTGATATAGTGAAGTTAATATATAAAAGCATAAATCTTCACTATATTGAGAAAAATAAAAAAGGCTTAATTTTATAATACTTTTATTATTATACTGCTAATACATAATTTTTCTGGCACTTATATAAAAATAAATAGATCATAATTAAACCGAATTTTATCAAGTAAATATTCACCTACTGCCAAGTTTATATCAAATAGTTTTTTTTTTTTTAATTACTTAGTATTTGGTTTCAATTTTTATTATCAATGTCTCAATTATAGTATATTTACATTCTAATTTAATATCTAACTCTTTATATCCTTTCGCTAGCCAAAGTGCCACCAAAATTAAGAATTCTGAAATTTATTAACCAAAAAAAGAAAATTCGAATCTACATATATTCGTTTTATAAATTAATAAAAAAAGACTTCACTAAAATTAGACCCAAAACAAATTTAAAAAAAAAATAAAATTAGAAAAAAAATCAATAAGGATAAAATATTATTTCTACATTCACCCATAAGAAACTTCTAAATTCTTAAATCAGATAGCCAATTCCAAATTGCTATATAAAGTTAAAGTTTAAACGTTTAATTTAAAAAATAATTTATTTAAAAAAGAAATAAATTTTTTGCGCCTACTTACAAGAAAATCCAGTCATATCTTGCAAATAAATTCATAAATCAGCTACCTTTAAAATCAAAAAATAAAGCATTTAATTGGTTTTCAAAAAAAATTTTTTTTTAGAAAAGCAGTAAAAATCTTCACAAAAAATTCATTTATAAAATTTTATATTTCTTAAAGTTAGCTAGCCACTTCTAGTTACTACATGTGTTAAATCAAATAATGAAACATTAATTTAATTGGTTTCTAAAAAAATTTTTTTAAAAAAAAAAAAAAAAATCATGTTTGCCCAAAAATAAAAAAAAACTAGTTATTTTGCCAAATAAATTTTTCTAAAGTTAGTTAGCCCGCTTCAAGTTACTATACTTAAATCATTAAAAAAAAAAAAAAAAAAGAAATCTATAAACTTCCAAAAAAAAAAAAAAATTAATTTTAATTTGGTCCAAAAATAAACATATCTAAGGTGACTTGTCAACTTGAAGCAGTATGTTTCAAATTTACATCTTTTTTTAATCTTTTTAAATTTTGAATAAGAGATTCATTTACTTGAAAGGCTCTATTCGATTGCTGCTTGAGAAATAATAAGATCCCATTGATAAACTCTAAATCTTGCGTGAAAGATATTGGTTTACTTGTGACTTCATCTTCTTCTAGTTCAATACATTCTCGATTCTTTATAGCCTTGATTATCTCTTTATTATTAGGCATTTCAGTAGTAATCAGATTATTATCAGCAATTACATACTCATCTGCACTTATGGGTTAGTCAAGAAGCAATCGCTCAATCAAATACTGAATCTTACTAGTAATATTGGATTCATTATTTTGGTCAAGCTCTTCAAATAGAAACAATTCATTAAGAAAATCATTTGGCAAAATGCCAGTTTTTCTTCAACAGTTACAGATAGTTATTAGTATTACTTTATCCCAAGCAGTAGCAACAAAATCAATTGCGTCTTTAATAGTTATCAATTCAGAAAGATTACCAGATTCCAAAAAAGTATCAAACACATCTATACTATCTTCACAAAATATTTTTTTATAATGTGCCTATGTTGCTAAGTGTTAATAATTTTCTGATAATGCTATAAAAATTCTTAAAACTATACAAAGTTAATTTTTTGGTCTTTATAACTGAGTCAGATAACTTTTTAAAAATTGAAACTAACTTTTTTTAGAAATATGAGCAACAGTAAAAGAAAATTTGTAAATAAATATTTCAAGTTATTACTGCTACAAACCTATCGCATGATAATATTATATGATAAGTTTGCTATAGTGATGACTTGAAATATTCATTACAGATTTTCTCTTACTATAAAATTTTCTAATTTTTTTAAAAATTAAATTATATAAAAAGAACTTTTAACATATCGGTAGAATTTTAGGGTCACTTTAAATTTTTTTGTTATAAGAACCAAAAAATTAACTTTGTATAGCTTTAACTTACCAAATTATTCCTGCATCACATGGTTGCAAATATGCCGTCATATTTGAAAGAAGAAAATAAAGCTTTATATTTGTCAGAACTAAGCCTTCCTCAAGTCCATGAGTTGATGCACCATCTAATATAAGAGGAATTAACTGACCAGTAAGCTGTATTTGGTTATCGAGGTGCTTAACATAATAATTGAAAATAAATATCTGTATTCAAGCAGTACTATTCCAGTAATAATATACAGGTAAAGTAGATTTATCAACATTTTTGAGGGCTCTAGGGGTTTTGAATTTATGTATAAACAGATGTAGGAGTTTATAGGTACCAGTTGCATTACATATAAGTAAAACTATAACATGATCTTTAGCCTTTTTCTGCCCTGAAGTTGGACCATTTGCTAATGTTTTATCAGGTTCTATATGCCAATATAATGCTGTCTCATCAGTATTATAAACATCTTCAGGATGGTACTTTTTAATTACTTCTTGTAACTCTTCATGAAATTTGGGAAGGTCCTCAAGAGGTGTGCTTGTAGCTTCACCCAAATGTTTGTATTTTTTTATATAATACCGTTTTTTGAAATTTGAGAGCTATCCATCAGAGGCAGTGAAACCTGTCACTTCAAGCTTTTCTGCGAGTTGTGTTGCTTTACATTGAATTATTACACCTGTGACTGTCTGTAGTACTGTATTTGCTTGTGACACCCAAAGGGCTAGTGCCTCCTCTAGCAGAGGAAACTTTCTAGTTCTTTGTTACTTTAGAGAAGCATTATTCTAACTTAAATCAAGCAATAACCACCTCT